AACATTCCAAAAAAAAAATGTACTTCTTCTATCGAAGTCCTAGACTTTCTTTTTGATTCTATCATCACACCCAAAACAAACTCCGACGCAATTTAAAAGTAAACTAACTTTGTTTGTAGTTTTGTAACAGTATAGTTGGAACAGGTTGAACAGCAACTTGAACAGAACAGCTATTAATTTTGTTCCAACATTGGGGAAAATAGGGAGAAACCTTATAGTCGAGTTTAGTTTTTTCTTTTTTCCATGCAAAATCAGCTACCACAAATAATTTTCATAATCGGATTTTTTTTTTTTAATTTTAGTCTTAAGTCGAGCGAATAAATCGAGCGAACATGTTTACAATAGCTTATTTTAGTAGCCTTATAGCTTACAATAGCCTATTTAAGCCATGAAAACAGAATTTTACTCTTTAAATCTAATTTTTGAGTTCTTTATCCACTTTTAGCACACAAAAAAATTTAGAAAAAAAATAAAAAAATGCAAAAATTTGAAACAATTCCTAAACAATTTTAATGATTTTTTTTTCTGGTCATTTTTAAAAAACTGTTGTTGTCCAATGGGTTTATTTTATTATGGCTGACAAATTGGCCTAAGCACTAAGCTTTCGTTCAGATCAGTCCACGCAAAAAAGCTACACTCAATTGAACAATTTTTTTTGTTGTAATTCTGAAGACTATGGTCGGAAAAATCTGTGGTACTTGCACATTAACGAGCAAGTCTGGTTAAATTTTGGTTTCTATCGCAATATTTTTTTGAGTTGAATCCTGGTTTCAACATTTTAAACCCCTTATTTTCTGCCTTTATGAGTGGGGGCCTTCTTTCTACCATTTTTCAAAAATTTTATCAACCTTTTGTTGAAATCTATTAATATCAATGCTGTAAAATTGGTGGATTTGAGAACTGGAGAGCAGGTTTCATCATACTTCCTCCCTATGTATATTCCTAGCATCGTTTTCTTGTTCGCTCCCGGTATTCCAAACTCCAAATGATCCCCCTTACCGAAATGAAAATTTTTGAATTGTTCCATTTGTTCTAATTTTTAATTTTCCCTCCCAGCAACTTGTTTTTTGCTCTCCTTTGACATGTTATCGGCGAGTAATGATTGTGTGATGTTCGTTTTGTCGATGACATACCACTTGCTTTTTCCTGTCACTTGGGTTAAGGAGATACTTTGCTGTCAACACCCTAACTGCCAAACTGGTGTTGATTTTTTGGCATTTCTTGTGCCTTTCCTGTTTCATTTAACGCATTACTGCACGCCAAGTAATGAAATTTAGAGTATCGTCGAAGTGGCACAATCCTCCCTCAAGCCTTAAGTGTCCAAATAGAGCTATTTTACTCTATCCCTTTCACCATGTATACAGTTTGCTCATGGATACCTTCAGCGCACTTCGCATCGTCCCTTTAATTGTATATTAAGCCAGTAGTCACCACAAAGTTGGTCGGTTTAGTCTCGGTCACGCTTTTATGTTCAAAAAAACGCTATTGGATCGTTTGTTTGTTTCAAATTTTGGACTACTGTACTTCTGTTATTCCTGATGTATATCCTGATGAACATTTGCATCGCACTCGCAGTAGACTTTCCTGCCCTGAGAGCTGGTTGGTCATCATGCACCATTAGGTTTTGTTTCATCACTCATTTTCTTGTTCTTCAAGCCAGCACTTTCGCAACAACTCGTGATGCCACTTTCAGCAAACACTCCACGGTATTTATTGAGGTTGTTTCTTCAAACTTTCTTGAACAACGATATTCTTAATCCGGTTTTCACACATGTTTCCAAATCCAGCAGATGTGTGCTGTATACAGGGGCGGATTTAGGGGGGGGGGGCGGTGGGGGAGGAGGGCGGCGGGGAGGGGCGGACGCCCCTTCCTCCTCAGTGATTCGACACCCTGCCGACACAAAGGGTCCCTTTTTTTGGTGCCCCCTCCCTTTGGTACTTCTTAAGAAATCCACTTTTGGCCGACCGACCCTAAAATTTTTCTAAAGGCGCCTTTGGCGCCAATATTTACTAATTTTGAAAGGGGAGCGCGCGCCGAAAAAACGCAGTTTTTTGGTCAAACTTTTCCAAAAAATGCCTAAAAACGCCTTTTTTGACTGTTTTTTCAAAATTTGCCTGCGGCGCAGAAAATTTGGCCAAAATAGGGGCAAAACAGTGTTTTGCGAGAGCTCAAAAAATCAATTTGGTCAACCTAAAAAAAAGGTCAGAATTTTCGATTTCTTTTTGAAAGTCCACCCCCCCCCCCCCCTCGAGAAAATCCTAGATCCGTTCTAGGTATTCTTTGGTTGAAAATAAATCACTCGTTTGATCTACCTTCGGGTCCGGCAATGCTGGCTTTGATTTCTGAGCAATTTCGTTTATTAAACCTATGTCGTGTCTGTCCTAAGCCTACTTATGATTTTACCATCATCAAAATAGCGATTTCAATTTCAACAAATTGTCAGGCAACGCGGAGCTTCCCGTCGCTTGCAATACAACCCAGACATAGCTTGACAAAATGGCTGGAGGAAAATGAGACGAAAGTCGCTACGCAAAAGACTTCTATTAAAAGTTTCCGATAACTTTTCCAAAAATTAAAAGTTTACTTTTTCTAAAAGTTATGAAACTATAACTTTGTGCTAATATTTTGGAGCTAGAGAAATTAAAACGTGCATCATTTTTTTTCAGATGAGGTTGGTTCAGATGAGGGCGGTGGTGGTGGTGGTTCCGGTTGGGGGGGGGCGGTTGGGTGGTGTTTTAGGTTGGGGGATTTGGTTCAGGTGGGGATGTTTCAGGTGATAAAATGGGGGGAGGGGTGTGTTCATGTGGGGGAGGGGTGGTGGGTTCATGTGAGGGGGGGGGGGGGAATGTTCAGGCGGGGGTGTTCAGGCGGGGGTGTTCAGGGGGGTTCAGTGGTGAGGTGGGTTCAGGTGGGGGAAGGGGTGGTTTCAGGTGGAGGAGGGGATTGGGTTCAGCTGGGGGTTGTTCAGGTGGGGGTTCAGTGAGGGAGGCAGGTTCAGGTGGGCGAGGGGTGGGGTGGGTTCAGGTGGCGGAGGGGTGGGGTGGGTTCAGGTGGGGGGGTTTAGTGGGAGGGGGGATCAGTGGGGGGAGCAAAGGGGGGGGAGATTAACGGAACCTTTTAGCAATTTGAGTTCAGGTATAAAAATGGATGAGGCCGTACACTCGCTTTGCAAAATTTCCGCATAATTCACTTGATAAATGCAGAAATTCTTGCAAAACTTTGCCCGACGCGCAAAACAAAATTAAAGTGGTAAAAAATCCATATTAATGTGATTTTCTACTTATTATAAATTCCATTATAATGGATTCGAAATGAACTACAATGCATTTTGTTTTGGCGAGAACAAATGGATTTAAATCGATTTTTAGTCCAATTTTGTTTCTGAACGTAACATGGGAATCGATTATATTTACAACACTTTAAACCACGAAAATCCATTATAATCGACTTTTTTTCACATTTCTTAAATGCGGGTAACTATTTAAGATCGAATAAATTCGACTTTTTGTGCCCAACAAAAAAAATTAGAAACTATGATAAAGTTATTCAATTATAATGACTTTAATTGTATCGAAAAATAGATGGATAATAACCGATTTGATTTGATTAAAGTACATCATAATTGATTTCGATTTGCTTTCAAAGAGAGATATTGTAATCAATTATTAATTTTTTATAAATGATTTTTCTCAGTTTCAGTAAGACTGGAACTAAAAGCATTATACAGTCGATCATTAGGCTGAAAAATGAAAGCGGGAACCGCCAATTTCAGTTATTGTTCCGTCTTTCGATACGAAAGTAACGGAATATTTGTGCTCGGGGTGGGTATTTTTTTTTCAGACAAATTTCGACTTTTTAACTTGCCATTTTTGACGAAATTTTCTTGTTATCATTCGAAAGCTATTGTTGTCCTGAGCTTAAATTTGAAAAGATATTTCACCTGCGATCATTTTCGTAAAGTTATGAGGGTTTAAAGTTTGCCATTTTGGCCATTTTGTCCAATTTGGGACAATTAACGCGCGAAATCGTTCCAAATTGGTTGCAAGAAGCTTATTTGCCACAATTGATTTGTTACAAGGAGCGCAATTTATTGTTTTGTACTTTATATGGCGTGTGGGGGGATAATTTTCATAGAAAAATTTTCAAATTTTAGAAAAAAAATTTTTCATTTTTTTTATTTCATTTAATTTTTTTATGTTGTTTATATTTTTACTGCTCCATAAATTTTAAAAGGCAGTCGGAACTTTCAGGGCTTTGCTCTGATACGAGCAGTCTTGTTAGCATTTGAGGCGCTTAAAAATTCCATTTCTGGTTTAGAACGCGTGAAGGGGATATGAAGAAATAAATGTTAAGTTATTGTTCCGACTTTCGATGCGAAAGTAACGAAATATTTGTGCTCGGGGTGGGTTTTTTTTCTTCAGACAAATTTCGACTTTTTAACTAGCCATTTTTGACAAAAAAATTCGAATCATCCAAAAGGTATTGTTGTCCTGAGCTCAAATTTGAAAAGATATTTTACCTGTGATCATTTTTTGTAAAGTTATGGGGGTTTAAGAATTGCCATTTTGGCCAATTTGGCACAATTAACGCGCGATATTTTTCGCGCTATTAACGCGTAAGCGGAGATTTAATCCGTCCTATAAATCGTTCCAAATTGGTTAAAAGAAGCTTATTTGCCATAATTGATTTGTTACAAGGAGCGACATCTATTGTTTTATACTTTATATGGCGTGTGGGGGGATGATTTTCATAGAAAAATTTTCAAATTTTAGAAAAAAGTTTTTTTTTCATTTCATTTAATTTTTTTATGTTGTTTTTGTTTTTACTGCTCCATAAGTTTTAAAAGGCAGTCGGAACTTTCAGGGCTTGGCCCTGATACGAGCAGTCTTGTTCTCGTTTATTTACGGGGAAAAATACGGCAGATAAAAAAGCAGCTTGGACAGACTTAAAGGGACAGTAACAAAGTTAGCTTTTCGTAATTTTAATTAATCGGACTTGCCTTCTTTCTCAGCCTTGTCGACAATGTTCTTGACCTCGTCCTCATAGTTGTGCAGATTGAGTGCGAGGAGATCAGCCAATTTGGTGTCGTCACTCATCATGATCTTCACCCCGGTGGCCATCATCAATTCGTTCCAGTGTCTGTCCCGGATGGATCCACTCCTCAACTCGGCCACAGATCTCAGAGACGTGATGAGGTTCTTCACCTCCTTCTCAATTCCCAAGTACGCGTCCCACGTCTTCATCTCCTTGTCCATCAGTCGCACATTTTGCGAGAAGCGCCCACACTCCTGGTCCATTGCCGCCACGTCTATCGCTACACACAACACACAAAACGCCAACTCGACCCAGTTCATTCTAAAAAACGCCCCCTTAGCCGAAAACCATACAACCTCATGCGCGTATTTTTCGTTCTCCAGTTTTGATGAAAACTTTTTATATCTGACTTAAGGAAAATGTGGAATGGTACTAGGTTCTCCGGTGATCAATGTACTGAATCCTATCTAGAACAGTTAAAAAACACAGCGGACATTGAAGATCCATTACTTTGAATTAATAACAAACATAATATCCAATTCGAACTGTCGCTAGATAAAGACATATACATTGTTCCGATTTCAAAGAAGGCTTCGAAACGAAGGCTTCGAAACTCGATAATTTTTTTTTTGATAAACCAATCTATTTTTCTGTGTGATCTGAACAGACACTATTTTTTGTTAATCTATTGTTAAAAATAATCAGTTTCTAGGGTAAACACAGCTCAACGCTCAACCGAACGAGAAATTTGTCGATTCTATACGCTGAATATTTAAGTATGCTCAATAGTCGTAGCAAAACAAGGCAAACTAACTGTTGTTATAACAAAAATTACATTGCATTCGGTTGCTACGACTAATATAACAGCTCAGGTCATGAGGACAGGTCGTTAGTGCTCTTGTCTTTGTCTAATAAACAGGCAAAAAAATTAAATTTTTGTATTTGTTCTCGCAAGCACACTAAGTCAATCGGTAAACTATTACAGTTGTTGTTGTTCCAATTTTCAAAGAAACTAAAATTAAACATATTTTCCTCTTTTGTTAAGCTATATGGTTTTTAAAAAACTACTTTGGCTTAATTAGCGAAAACAAAACGGAATTTTTATCCTTACTGTGGTTATTTATTCAGTCAATTTTCAGCGATCGAAAAAATAGTTTTTAACAAAGTTTTTATTCATTTTACCGAAAGCGTAACTCGAACTATTTATGCGTAACAAACTTGTTGCAAACTGAATGGAGGCTAGCTAGTCGGTTCTAGCAATTTCGTGCGACTCAAAATTTCATACTTTCATACATCTAAAAAAATTATCTAAGTTTGGCAAAAAATGTGTCAATTTTTTCAATGATTGAATTTCTTTGAATAAATTTTTTTTAAAACCAAAACTGGTGAATGAACTTTAAGGGGCAGTCGGTATAGTTTCAAAGCTTCGCCCTGATATAAGGAGTCTTGTTGTCTCCTATCCCACCTGTCCACTTGGATGTCATCCATGACTCGAATGTGGAAGTGATGAGGTAGGTCAGGTCCCACAGACTCTTGAGCATCTTCACCTCCTTGCGACACTGTTTGAGGTGTTTGAACTCGGGCACTGCCACTTCAAACAGATCCGCCGCCTTCACTATGTCCTCCAATCGACACTCCAACTCACACAACTTTTCGTTTTGCTATAAAGGACAAACCACAGTCACAACATTTTAACATCTCTTCAATGGCTCATATTGCATACAAACTTATGCAAAAGCATACTATCCTGCATCTCATTCAAATTCAACGCTCTTTTTCACCTCAAATTAGGATCTCAATTAGGTCACCGCCACAGAAAAAAATCAAACTGATGCATGCATAAACCATACTCTGCACCACTTAATTGTCGGGCCAAAGAAAAAAGGAAAAGCATAAAAATGGCATGGCAAACAATTTCCATGCTATAGACCTGTATGATCAGCATTTTTCATGCTATGGAATTAAATAGGAACTTCCCATGCTATGAGATTGTCAAAGAATTTTCCCATAGACTCCATCCATTTATGGAAATGAAGACAAGCATTTTTTGTTTTGAGGCCAATCCATAAATTTTCAACTAACTTGGTCCAGTTGGGAATAGGGATCAATGGAATTGTACTTGAAGGGGGCTTGAACTTTGAACGTCTTCTCCTTGAACTCGAGCTGTTCTGCCTCGAACTGGGAACACCTCTTCCTGATTCTGGCCACCTCATCCGCCTGCATAGGCGCCACGTTCTGCTTCACAGCCACTGCCACTTTCTTCGTGTGTTCCCACTGCTCTGGTAGTTCCTATTAGCCAAAAAAAAACGTATAAAACCGGTTGCATGTGAGCAGCTTCAATTAAGTAACACAAAAATTGCTCTTTAAGCAATAAGATCATTTTGAAATCCAGCTTTACATCGTTTCGTTAGCGCCATTAAGAACAAATTATTTAGTATTCTTTGTGAGATTGAGCTGGGTTTTCGAAAAATGTGAATAAAATTTAGTTTGACTTATTCGAATATTGAAGCTCTCTGCACAAAAAGTTAGAAGGCTAATTTTTTAAAATTGTTTTTGGGTGTTGGGAGACCAGCCTCTCACCTGAAGCTGGAGGTATACGTCATCATTGACCTCTACGTGGTAACTCTTGAGGAGCTCGATGGTGGACTTGATGGGCTCGAACATCTGGTCTGTGGTGGCCTGTCTCTCCTTTATTCTTCCAAGGTGGGCCATACATTCAACCAGTGCACTGTAGTCATCAATAGGCTTCACCAGTCCATTATTCGCATCCTTGATCGTCTTGGCCAGCTCACTCAGACTGTTGGTCACGTATTTGACCAGGTGCTCCTTGAACATATATCCCCACTTGCCACATGTGTTCAATAGCGCCTGCTTGAACGGCCTCGCGTCCACTCGAAGCCACCCGTCAAACACCGCCAAAGAGTTTTCCAGGCAGTCGATTTCTTTGTATAGTGATTCGAACAGGTCGATCTTAAGATAACAACACATCCGTAAGAATTGCCGATGGCACGGCGGCCATTTAACTCAATTGAAGTTGGTGCATTCAGTTGTTTAAAAACAATGCGTTTCTTAACAAATGTGGTGAGCTGTCAAAGGAAATTATTCAACGAAAATGACTTCAAAAGTTTCGGTGGCGAAAATGACTTTTGAAATTTTGCGGTGTATTTTAGAGCCAAAAACCCTTAGAAAAATTGAAGAAACTGTTGCAGCTAAATTCAGCTGTAATTGATTTGAGCTGACTTTTTATGGCTCTTGCATTTTTGGTTTTTTTTCCGAGTTTCAAACCAATCATAAAGTGAAACCTGCTGCTTGAATTGATCAAGTGAAGGGGCACACTCCTCGATGTTTTCAATACCCACTGCGTCCATTTCCTCGGCCGAAATGACCCGCCCATAGGTGAGGAAGCACCTCATGAACTCGGCCCGATCATCATTCCACAGGTACGCATATCGCTCCAGCGAGTGTTTGAACTTTACAGCCTTATCACAGGCGAGTGGCACTCGGTTCAAGAACTCATGGCGATGCTGCTCTGACTCGACGAATTCGCCCATCAAATCCCGATACCCGTTTTGACTAGTCAAATTCCCCGTCTGTGCTCCCTCTGATTCCTCGTCCTTACTTGGTTCCGCTTGCTCCGAAAGCATCTCTTGTCCGTCTTCACAGTCCGCAACTCTTGGAACAAGTGCGGCCATATTTAGCACATCCTCAACCAAAGCATTGACCAAATCGGAAAACATCACTTCCTTTTTCACGTCGCCAGCAGCATTCGGCTGATTATTAGTCCGAGCAACAGCGGCGCTTTTCCTTTGCGCATCGGAAGTCTTGATTCGAGAATACTTTTCTAGACGAGGCTGGAACCTACTCTCCATATCGTGGAACTCCAGTTTAACTTCAAATAACGGGTGAATACTCTTCGACGGGTCTGTAAATGCCAAAAAACATCATCAACTCATATTAGAACTAAGTATGAATTCCAATCTTCATATTCATAAGTTTTCATGCAGATTTTCAATCTGATTACATTTGTATCAATGTTGCCCAGCTCAAAGTTATCAGTCACGATAGCCAACGGTAGCCGGTTAATGCGCATAAATTGTACACCAGTTGTGTACAAATTATATATAACGATAGCCGGTTACTGTGCAAGAATGTTCCGACCAGTCTTAAAAAATACAAAACGATTTTTTATCATTAGTGTCGTTTTTTCGGCTTGGTGTGATAAAGGAATCTGAGCGAAAACGTAAAGCTTAAGCATTGTAAAAAACGTAAATTGGAAAACAATTTTTGAAGAAAAATGAAAAAAAAAATATATAATTTTTTTAAAATAAACTTTCAATTTTTTTTTCAAATTTTGAAGTTTTTGATTCCTACGATGAATTTAAAAACTCCAAAAACCAACTTCATTTAAGTAAAACTAAGTTTTCAAGGCTTAAAATAAGAATAAATAGGCTTATGTAAGCCTGCTCACTCGCTCGAAATAAGACGAAAAATCAAAAATTTCAAACCGGTTTTTCAAAAAAAAATTTTAAACTTTTTGACGTCGTTGGAGTGAAAGGGCTTTTATATGATATATCACTCCACCCAGTCCGATGATCATTTGTGGTAGCTGATTTTGCGAGGAAAACAAAAAAGGCTGCTCGCTTGCTTTATTCGCTCGAATTAAGACGAAAAACAAAAATTTCAAACCTGTTTTCCTGACACGGGGACAACTATTTGAAAATTTTTTGAGTGATTCGAATCACCGCTGAAAAGGGGCTTTAATATGATATATCATTCAACGCAGTCCGGTCATTTTTTTGTGATACCTGATTTTGCGTGAAAAACAAAAGGAAAAAAAAACTAAAACACACCCGTATACAAAGTTTCGCCCCATTTTCAATGATCGGAACAATAATTGATTACCACCTAAATGCCAATTTTTTCACATTAGTTCAAAGGCGAGCACAATACCGGTGTTGTCGTAGAAGAACATGTAGGATACATCATGCAGTCTTTCATCTTGATAGCCACTATCCGGTCAATTTCCCTCAAGTATGTCTTCCATTGCTCCGAGTTTGGATCAGCCTTGAGCAGCTTCTGATTTTCCTAGTTTGTGAAAACAAGAGTAGCCTTATTTTCTTCCAAGAAGCAGAGAATATAGTGATTACGGCAAAAACTTTTAGATCCGAGAAAAACACTTTTATAGTTTCTTCTCGATAAACCGTATATATTTTTACACATTTTTTGAGTCTTTGTGGGTAGCAGACGTGGATTCAAGAAGATATGAAGGGTAAAAAAACAAGTAATTAAGATAAAGTTAAGCGGATGTAAAATTAAATAGACAGAATTTTAGCTCGCTATCTACTATTAGCTGGAAATTTTCAGACCACTTGTTCCTCGTAAGAATCAAACTAACGACAGAAAAGCCTCAATTATCATACGATGTCCTCACCCCAATCATATTCTTGAGTTAACTACGATCGCGTGAAAAACCCACCCTAAAAATCTACCCACGCTGACAATTTGGATGATTTCTGTCTTACAGAACTTTTGCATCTCAATCAAAAAATGCAAAATCGTATAAAAGAAGATTCGCAGAAACCAATTTGCATAAAAATGCCTAAAGTTTTTGTAATTAGACAAAAATGGCATTTCAGCTGGCATCATTTTTCTAATAATTTGTTGCACATGGCTGGATAGGAGTGTAACTTATGACGGTGGGCTGGGCTGTAATGGCTGGTTTGCTAATTTGGTTTGGTTCGTTCAGTTTGTTATTAACCTGTATGAGTTGATGTATGGTGTGGGCATTACTGCGGATTGTGTCGTATCTCTTCTGCACCCTCTCCGCCCTGTTCTCCAGTTCGATCAGGTTCTCCGCTTTGCCCTCCTTCCTCTCAAAAAGAGGCACTTGCCACGTGTCTCCAATGTCACACACCTTGTCAATGTTCCCCATCACTGTCTGCACTCGCACCCACAAGTCATTAATCAGTTCCCTAGTGCTGTCTATGTAGCTCCACACTTCTTAAAAGATACCACATTTAATCCTGTATCATAGATACCTCCTCAATTTAACCCAAGTATAAGATGATAGTAAAATTATGTTTAGCGTTGAATTATAGCAACAACTGATGGTGTCGAGAACTGAAAAACTAGAAAGCTGACTCTCGCTAGATTTTTAAGTATAAGAGGTCATCGATGGTGCAGCATGTTGAATGAAACCACGACCATCACAAACAATTGCCAGTAACTAGCTCACTACTCAGCAATGTAACGATGATATACACGGCGGCATTAAAGGTAGCAAAATTATCTACTGCTTGAAAAAAAAGAGAAACGGGTGTGGGCATGATGAAATGTAAGCAGAATGATCCACCATCCCATCTTGACTTGACCTGACCTGCACTCTTCCAGTTGAGATTGGTCTCTGCTCGCACCAGCAGACTGTCTATCTGCTCCATCTCCCCTCTCAAAAGGGCAGACAGGGTGGGGCTGCTGCTGAGTTGAATGCGATTGTAGCAGGTGACCAGCAGGTCCAGATTCTGTGAGTACTTGAGGTACATGTCCACATTCTCAAACATTTCCTTCGCTCTCGGCGGAATCTCCCTGCCCAGGGCCCAGAACTGACAGGTACTTCACCTCACGCAACACCGCAATCAGCTATCAAACAAAAAACCACCGTCTTATCAACA